TACCAGGAAACAATATTCGTCTTGTTACGAGCCAGGCGTAACTAGAAAGAAAAGCCAGCAACAAACTTGTAACAATAACAAATTTATTACAGAAAAATTATTAAAGAAAAATTAAAGAACAATTAATGTTTACAAATACCTGAAGTCCAAATAAAAATGTAAAATTAAAATGTCTTATCTGATCCTGGAATGATCCTTTTTGAATAGCACAGTTAAATTCAAGTTAAATCCAAGAACACTTTAGAATAAATTCCCACAATAAAATCCACAAGAATAATTTAATCTATTTTGAAATAATCCAAGCTCCAATAAATCACTTAATATCCAAGTTGAATAATACTCCAAATATATTAATTTCTGAAAAGGTAACTGATGACTTAATAGATCACTGATGACTTAAAAGGTAAAAGTAATGAAAAATGTCTCCTTATATATATATTAACTAAGAAGTTTCTAGAATAGTCTTCCATTTACTACAGTAATCATAATCTAGCAACTTCACCAATAAAGATCATTCCAGAAATTTCTATCTAAATATAATGCATGAGTTTTCTACAACAGTTAAGAACGTTCTAGTACATACATGTAGTTTATGTTCTAAAAATAGAACAATGATAATATTGGAAATACCAACTGGTCAGATACAAACTATATACATGTAATATGTTGCATAATAACAGTCTTACTTCAGAAAATGGATTGCATGGTGCAACCAGATGAAAATAGCTAAAATATATCCCGCTTTGAATTTTCATATTGCTTTATTTTTAGTTTCATTGATTCAAAAAGAGAGCTCGTACGCAGTAATTGAACATAGTTTTTATGCATTGAAATGGTCGCATGATTTTAGTGACGTGAAAAACCCATGTGAGTCAAAAACGGTTAATTCAGTTTTAACTGCTGCAAAAAAGTTGTGCGGTTCACCAGTAGATAAGAAAAAAGCTTTGACATCTGAAGATATTACAAAAATGTTTACATTCTTTCCGCGCCTGACGTAGTAGATTTGTACAAATTAAGGACATTAACTTTTGTTGTAATAGGTTTTGCCGGATTTCTTCGCATTTCAGAATTAAGAAATTTGAAATGTTCTGACGTAATATTCAAAGAAGATCATCTGCAGTTATTGATAAGATCAAGTAAAACAGATCAGACAAACAAAGGACAGAATGTCCTCATTGCGAAAACAGGAAAAGTAACCTGTCCTTATAATACGCTAAGCCTTTATTTTAAAAAAGGGAACATTAAAACTAGCGATGATTTATTTCTATTTCGACAACTTTCTTTACACAAGAGCAAAAATACACATATGTTTAGAAATAACTTTGGTTTATCATACACAAGATTTAGGGAATTATTCCGGGAAGTACTGTCAGAATTAGGTTTGAATCCTGATTTATACGGCACACACAGTTTAAGACGCGGTGGTGCTACCGCCAGCGCTATACATGGCATTTCAGACAGATTATTTAAAAAGCATGGAAGGTGGCAAAGTGATAAAGCAAAAGACGGTTATGTTGCCGAAAACTTTTCGGAAAAGATATCAGTTACACAAAACTTAGGAATTTAAAAATCTTTTGAAAATTACTATATTATCTTTCACATTAAAGAATTGAATTGCCTTGGTCGTTTTATATTATTTTTCAATAATTAAATACTTAACTTTAATCTTGTTACAGGATTTTATTTTACATTTTTAGATTTCAATGATTATTCTTTTTGATTTCCCCTTCTTTATTTTTCGACGGCTTAACGGCATGCCCTCTAACCTTGTTTTATGTTATGTTTTTCTTTAAAGCTGCATGCTTGAATGTAGGTGTATGTTGGAGGATAATAAATAATTTATGCTCGTTTGAGAGCATCGAATAAGAGCATAAATGTATTTATTTACGGTGCATACACCGTGTCTTTCCATATATGGTAATTCCTCGTGTTTTTAATGGTTATAGTTTTGGCGGTAATTATGCACGATTTTACGTGTAAGTTGATAAAATATAGTCATTCGAGGCATTACGTTCACGCCGTCCATTTGTGAAATTTCTTTAAATATAATTTTCATATATTACGAAATATCATGGATAAATTTATGGTTTTAACATTGCCTTAAACAGATTTTTGATATCTTGTTTTATCTATTTCAGATTCTCCGTCTTCATTTTTAACATGGATGTAAAAATTAAAAAAAAAAATGAAGGAAAGGGAAGATATCAATGCCATGTTTTGATTTAATCTGAAAGTAATGCATTTCATATAATTAATGGTTTTTTATTAGACTCAAAATTGGGGATATGTCAGATAGGCGATTGAAGCAGCCGCTGATCTAGAGCTTTGGAGCTTCCTACCTCCCCCTCCCAAGACGGAGTAGGGTTGGGTAGCCCGCTCGCAGCATTTCTGACTTTGGCTTTTTCCAATTATTTTATATTTGATTAATTCTACCTGCGATTGATTAAAAATAGTATTTCTTAGAAATCGAAGTTCATTAGGTTTGGTTGGTTGGATCGGAGAGCAGAGCACGAAAATTTTAGAAGTACACTTGCAGTTTTTCTTCAAGTATTGATCAATGGAGTTGTTTCTTTTGTTTCCTGTAAATCTTTTGTCAAATAAACGGGACGGCTTAACGGCATGCCCTCTAACCTTGTTTTATGTTATGTTTTTCTTTAAAGCTGCATGCTTGAATGTAGGTGTATGTTGGAGGATAATAAATAATTTATGCTCGTTTGAGAGCATCGAATAAGAGCATAAGCATAATTATGAAATAATAACACGCATAGTTCAAGAACAACAACAACAGTTTCTATTTTAAATTATTCAAATACTAGACTTATTCTAGTAGAATTCCGATAAGTTCAACATATTTTTTCTAAATACAATTATTATATATAATACTTCAAGTTTACTTCTTGATGACTTCTCTTTTTAAACTTTATTTTGGTTTAATAATATTTTAATGCATGAGTCCATGTATATAAACAATACAGATACACATATATACAAATAGAGTGGGCCACGAGTTATATATGAACATCTTATTCAATAAACGGCGCGTTCCATATTACGAGTAATCACATATTGCATAATAATACTCAAAAGGCTTCTATATATTGAGGTAAGGTTGAATTAAAAAGGAAGAGAAAACAAATTCATCCAATATTTGGGGCATTACTATACCTTCGATCGAATCCTGTTTACTACAAAGGTTGTTTTTTGAAAAATGATAACTTAAAGTAACTAGGATAGAGATATTTTAACACTTAATATGCTTGAAAGATTCATTGTAATTTCGCGCGATTATGTACAAGGAATGTTGAAAACAAACTGGGTTTTAAAAAGTAACGGTCACAAAACAAATATTTTTTCGTAATTGAGCTGTTTAACTTATTTATAAAGGGGTATGTTTTAGTCATTATTGTATGTGTTAAGTTTAAAGGAGCATGTTTTAGTCATTATTGTATGTGTTAAGTTTACAGCAATATTTACAACATCTGCATTCGCAGCTTAAAGGCATCAACTGTGGTTCAAAAGCCTAAAACATAAAATTTGATTTCCTGACATTTAAAACAGATAGATATGCATAATATGATTAAGAAATATACTTGCAATAAATTGAAACCGTTCTTTTGTGCTATTTGTGACCAGATTTGAGTGAATAGCGTTGCAGCGCTTTTCAATTATGGTTCATATTTTTACACTAAGACAATATTTTTGGAAACAGAGACAGTAAATTATTTGAATTTTTGCACACATGTTATTAGTCTAGACCAACATCCAATGGAAAATATATCTCGAAAAATTATTTTCAGTCCCGTCATGTCAAAAATACTTATTGGAGCTCCTTTAATGTTGTTTCAAACACTGGCATGAATACTTTACGGTTACTTATTGAAAAAAATATATACTTGAACAAAGTCGAATATTCAATATACGAACAATAGGCAAGTTTGCCGCGGGAAACTACAAAACAGACAAACCTCGTATATTGGGTGTTTACCACCCGTCTCTACCAAATAATTGTTAAAGCTGCACGCCTCCAGATGAGCAAAAATATTTCGATAAAATCAAATCTGAGAAAAATGTACTACGATTGTAGAAAAGGTATAAAGATTCAAAATTCTAGTAAAAATTTACATGTTATGTGAGATTAATTACCGGATTTTTCAGTGTTTATAACTATATTTCTACTGCGTTACTAACGCAGTAAGGGCTATTTTTGCATATTTTGACCTCTTTATAGTAATTAACATAGGTGGTTGTAAGTGCCATTGACAATGTGTAAATTGCATTCTTTTGGTAACCTTACAATATTATTCTGTTAAATACATTTTCAAATTTTCATGAAAATTAGCATGAATCTGGAGGCGTGCTGCTTTAAATGATGAAGCATTCCTACAAGCATGACAATGATGTGTGTCATTGACACTTTGTAATGAATTTAAAATTATCCCGTTGTACTGAATATGGCTTGAACCATTTTTACTTTCTCCTACAACATGTAAAAAGAATGGTTATTTATGGAAAACTACAAGGCAAAGTTATAACTGCATGTACCTTGTGTGTGTATAACATGATGAAATATAAAAAGCACTGCTTTAATCAAAGAATGCCCAGTATATATCTCATACAAAAATGACAATCCTGATAAAAATTTGATCTATAAAAATACTTAAAAAAATTCTAATATTGAACATTTAATATATTATTAGTGAAGATTTTGTCAAATCGAAATATGTCAAAAACTGAGCATTTTTCTCGCATTTCGGTCCTTTTTTTGTTCTACAATTGCGTTCCTTGTGTCTCGATTACGAATTCAAAGTAATGATTTTTCTTTTCAATAAACTTTAATTTCAGTAATGGAACTACACGCAATCCATCTTGGAATGAGTGTACACGTTTGCTTTGCGTTTTACCGGACAAGACCATGTCGTACTGAAATGGTTGTAGTGACTGTTGAAATACGTTTTAATGTACATTTGTTTAAGGTCACTTATAGGTCCATTTTACATTTAACATTTTACAGGACAAAATGTTTACTCATTTATCACCGTTATTTGTTATTTATCATACATATGTCACTATTATAATAAAATTTTGACGGCCTGACGGACTCCCTGCCATCCTATATCGTTTTTGTTCTTTCCTTCTTTCTTTCTTTCTTTCTTTCTTTCTTTCTTTCTTTTTATTTCTTTCTTTTTTTTTCGTACAACATTGTCACTAACTAATCCGCTTTAAGAACTTGTTAGCAAACTGCATTAAGGCCATTCCCAGTGTTGTTTCCGGGAGTTTGTTTAACGGGATGATGACACTTGAACACCTGGGGCACTAGAATAACTTGTAAGTTTTTTTTTTTAATCGAATGTTATTTACCACGTACCTTGCGATTATGATTATATAAATACACCATCCTAAGATTAGCGATATGAATAATTTACAAAGAAAACAGTGGGTTCGTTGAAACGTCACGCGTTTGTGCACAAGGCAAGTTTAAAACACCCGAGTGTGTAAATATAACGCTCATAAACCGCTTTAAGATTGCCATACAGAAACCGGAGATTATCTTACAACCTTGTAAGTTACTTTTCTCTTGTGAATAATACGCATAAACTTATATTATTTTAGTTGTTTTCATTATCTTAAACATCAAAGCGCGCAGGAAATTCTAACAATATGTGTTGCAATATACATTTTTGCATTTTCATTTTGCATTTTTACATTTTTTTAAAACAGGAATAAATTCACTGGACTTTTTCATATACAGTTTGTCAACTTTGATAGATATTGCGAAATCTGCCACGTTTTTAAAGATTTTATGACATTATCGTTTACAAATGGGCAAAATGAGATTTAATTCATAGATTTAGTATGAATCTGTTCATTTATTTCAGATTATAAAAGCTGTACCTCGTACATTCCCATTGCAATGAAAGGACGACAATTGAATTATACCGCTCTATTTTTGCTGATAATTATAAATATGCAGTTCATTACCATTGCGTCCGCAAATTGTGAAAAACGTTTCCGTTTCATAAACGGAAGAGTACGTCCATTCTGCCTGGATACAGGATGTTCCAATACTGGAGAAACTAAACGATGTACTCTTTTCAGTGGAAGATATTGCCGGTGTATGAACACAGGATCCCTCGCTAGATTGATTTCTCTTCTTAAGAAGGACGTGGAGTCCGCCGTAAACTCGTAAAAAGGTAGCAGAAAATCTCAATTGAAAACTTTTTGAAAAAAAATACATCGTGTGAAATATTATATTTATATGAAAACTAGCAGTTTTTCATTACCAAACATAGCATATTTCAAAACAGGAAATATTGACTCGTGACTCTGTATTATTTCAGACATCGAGTTTGTAGAAATAGAGAAAAACGCATTTCTAAAGAGGCAAAACTGAACATTTGTTAAATTCCGTTTGATGGAGCCTGCTAATGGATGTTATTGATAGATACAAGCTACCGATTCAGTCAATGATAAGACATTCATGTACTTCATGGTACCCTGTTCTTACATTTATGATGATATATTTATTTCTGATGTTTCAATATCGCAATATTTAAATTGTAATTGGAATAAACACCATATTTTTACACTTTTTCTTGAGTTTGTCTACTTTGAAAGCACTGTACTGAGTCTTTTTGACATGGCGGGGCTCAAAATAACTTTAAAGATTTAGGTAGGTATAGATTAACAGCTTTCGTCCAAAATTTCAGATCATTGGCCGACACCCTTTTCCCTGAAGAACCATTTTTTACTATTAAAATTGACCAAAAATCTAAAAGCTTTGCAACGTTTTTTACGCAAATCGAGTTAACAATAGAACAGACATGTGATTTTCATTATGAGTATATGTCTAAATCATCTTTCGCACATTTTCCTGTTTTATGATTGTGTAATGATGTAGAAGAAATTCAAATTTTTAATTTTTGGGCTTTTTGACCTGAGTGGAGTTCCTTTAAATGCTTTATAATTATAAGAGATGTTTGTACCGAAGAATGCGAGCACTTTTTTTTCGTCCCAGAAAACTGTTAACCATTTCTTTCTACGAACAGTTTTAAATTAAAATGCTCATATACCAAGGATGGAAGATCTTTAAATGAAGCATAGGTTTTATAAACAAGAGTACATGGCGACACGTGCAGTATATTCTTAGTCTTTTGTCTTCATAACGATGTTACTAATGGTTTTTATGATGAAATGTTTGTTACTTAGTTACATAGGTATTGACCGTATAATGTATTCATGTTAAAGGTGACAAAATGATTTATGAATTTATAGTAACAAAACAATGTCAAGATAACCGGTCACCGGTAAATGTTTTAAGTAGTGCAACTATTGATAAAATGATGTGTCACATGATCAATTTTGAGTTGATTTTTTTTTCAATTATTATAGTAAAATCGTGCTCTCTAGAGAATTTCAGATTCGGTTAGAAAACTACAGATTTAAGAAAACAAATACTCGAATAACTTTTTTTCGAAAATGAATATAGATGAAATTGAAAAACAACGCTTTAAGTAATGCTACAATTGACAGAATGAAAACATATATGTAAAGACAAATATCCATTCTGATTGCAGCCGATATATCAGAAACGTTTCATCTTGTTTATGTCTATAATTTGTTTTAAAATGTTACAAGTTTAAATTTATTAACAAATAAAGAAAGTAGATTAATCTAGCCAAAATCGTTTGAAGTAATCACATATCAAGTTACATCAGTTGCACAATTGCTTTAATGATTCATCGGTCTATTACCTTGTAATTCAAATTGAGAAATATTATATTTTTCCAACTCGCGGCTCGAATAGTTTATCGATAATGAATTAAACATTGCATTGCAAGTTTAAATAGAACTTGAAATTTATTAAGTTTTAATACCCTGCTATTTTTTTTAAATAAATAGTCTAGCTGAAAAATGAAATTGAAAAGAAACGGGTATAACAAGAGGTTTAATCATTTAATAAAGAAATCATCAATTTCTTACAACGGAAAAGAGCTGTATGTGTGTAGATGATATTTTCTTATTGTAATGATCGGTACCTGAAAGGCGATCATCGTGAATACAAAGGGTTTCAAATGCCAGCTAAGCATTATTATTGTCGTAAACTGGACTGCAAAATCACTTGAGCGTAACTGTTAAACTTACATACAATTATTTAAAAGTGATAATACTGGTCAAATTAAACGCAGAAGTAATCGCTTGTGAGTAATCGTCTGTCATAAAGTCATTAAATATTATTGACACTCAAGAACAACCATTACATGTAGTGTGTTTAAATGATATTGCAAGTATTTGTTTAATTAACTTATGTACAAAAAAAGACGAGATAGCTATATACGTTTGTAAAAAAGTGAAATGTTTTGTGTGTTATATTAAATTTCATTTAGAGGGACTTCAAGGTTTATTTTAAACTGAACATCTGAATGTAGGTATTAAAACTGAGAGAGCATATAAGTCTTATGTTACAATCTTCAGTATCAATTCAAAACATTATTTCTTTATTTATTTTTATTCAACAATTGCAATTGATATGTATTGTAGATATAATATTCATTGAATAGTAATTGCAAGCAAGAAGCACTTTTCTATCACATTCAGTATGTCTTTGGCTTTATAAGTGTCCACATCCAATCAGTCCCGGCAACTTGGATGTTTTGGTCTTAACGAGCGAAAAAGACTATTTCAGTTGATGAGATAGAACAGCTTAAATAAAATGAGCCGCACCATGACAAAACCAACACAATGGGTTTGCGACCAGCATGGATCCAGACCAGCCTGCGCATCCGCGCAGTCTCATCAGGATCCATGCTGTTCGCCTACCAACTCTATTACAAGTAGAGAAACTGATAGCGAACAGCATGGATCCTTATCAGACTGCGCGGATACGCAGGCTGGTCTGGATCCATGCTGGTCGCAAACCCATTATGTTGTTTTTGTATTGCGCGGCTCATTATTATTTCATGCATTATTCTCCTCCAGACGTAAGATGAAATTCATGAGAAGTAAGAACAGTTTCATTGTAAACTGTTTACAAATGAAGTGTTATTTGACATGTTAACACACTCATATTTTTAGAAATGACATTTAGCGTGTCAAAATATTAACAGATATCTCTTTAACTATTAGTTACGATGTAGAGATATGAACACTCAAATATTTTTTAACATAAGATACTTTTATTTCCAGTTTAGTTTATTTTTACAACAAATATTTACCCAAAAGGACATGCATCTTTAAAAGCAATTTATGTGTTGCTTACCTTAACTTGAATTGAAACTTTCCACATGATATCCAGATTACTAATAATTGGTCCTCTCAAATATGGAAATTGCTTAAGTCCAATAATAAATTTAGCAGTTTGTCTAGCTTTCATTTCTATTTGTGAATTAAGTATTGATACATTCTGTAAATAATAAGGCATTAAAAGTAACAGTATTGTTATACATAGGTTTCTTCGATATGAATACAATAATGAAAGTTAAATGTGACATTTCAAACATTGAAACTCCAGCTATAATGTCATGCTTAAGTTTTACGATTCATCAAAACAGGAAAACAAACAATTTACTATCAAAACATGAACAGTAACCACTGCGCCCGTTCCCTAACCATATGGAGTTGAATCTCAAGAAAACAAACTATAAGAAAAGAGAAAAAATAATGTACGTTTTAGGCAGGAAATTAAACTTCTTAAAATGAAAAATTAAAAAACCTTGACTTTTGAATTAGTAACCCCATTATGACTGATCAATATCTAAACTATAAGGACTTTGTGATTAAAAGTTTTTAAGGTAATGAGCTGAAACCATTATTACATTTAATGTCGCTGTAATCTTGGCTTTCGAACTAGTGATCTCAAAATCAATATGGGACATCTACTACATATGACTGACTATTCAATATTTGAAAAAAGGTGACTTTGTGATAGTTTTCAAGATGGTGAGCAGAAACTTTTCTGATATTTAAGGCCATGTGACCCTTACCTTTAACCTAGTGATCCCAATATCAGTATGAGACATCTACTAGTTATGACCAATAAGTATGTGAAATATGAAGACTTTGTGACGAATAGTTTTTATGATAATGAGCAGAAAACCATTCTGACATTAAAGGCCCCTTTGACTAAGACCTTTGAAATAGTGACCCTAAAATCAATAGGGGTCATTAAATACATATGACTTATCGATATGTGAAATATGAAGACTTTGTGATACACGGTTTTCATGACAAAACCAACATAATGTGTTTGCGACCAGCATGGATCCAGACCAGCCTGCGCATCCGCGCAGTCTGATCAGGATCTATGCTGTTCGCTTACCAACCCTATTACAAGTAGAGAAACTGATAGCGAACAGCATGGACCCTGATCAGACTGCGCGGATGCGCAGGCTGGTCTGGATCAATGCTGGTCGCAAACGCATTACGTTGGTTTTGTCATGACACGGCTCATTTTATCTTTACCTTACTTTAAAAAGAACCATAATTATGAAATAATAACACGCATAATTCAAGAAAGACAACATTAGACATGTTTCTATTTATTCAAATACCTGACTTATTCTAGTAAAATTCCGATACGTTCAACATAATTATTTTCTTATTTGTTTCTTTGGTTTTGGAGCATTTTTGACGATATTTGATCAGTCATTATGCAATCAGATAAAGCTATCACGTTTCAAGTTTCCCCAATGCCAAATTTAACTCCTATTGAACTAATCTGGGTCTAAATTTTTGTATTTTAGGAAAAAATGACTTAAAAAATTTTTAAAAATTTTTATTGGCCCACCCCGGTATGTTTAATTATTGACAAAATTTGTCATAAATTGATGAAAAGGGTAAATGTAAAAAATTTTAAGTGTATCGGTTAAGGCCCCTCCTTTACAAAAGAAAAACACGGGTTTACCCGGGTTTGGGCCCCCGGTGTAAACCGTACAACAAAACCCAAAACCCAAACCCTGGGGTTTTAACCGAGTTACACTCTTTGGCCCTTCGGTGTTTTCCGTGAAGCCGGTATGGTTTTTTAAAAATTTTAAAAAACTGGGACGGAGTTTAAAGTCCCTGTGTGATCGTAAAAAACGACCTAAAAGACCGTAAAAGGGGGGCCCTGGGGAGAACCCTATTACAACCCTATTTGAAAATCCACTACACGAGTGAGCCCAACCGTGCCAAGATCGTATATAGATCGTATGGAATTCGTTCGAGACCGTCCCCAAGTCCTACGTCCAACACCCGATTAACATCCGATTGTCACACGATCACGATACGATTCACTCGAGTGCACAAACGGTTTCATACGATCGCCATACGACCAATACGGTTCAAGTACGAATCATACATGGCATACACGGTATAGTACGGGTATACACGGTCTCATACGGCCTCGTATACGGTCTTCCATGGTCTTCCATCAACATGAACTGTACAACGAAATCCACAACTACCTGCTGCCACCCTCAATTGCTAGATCTACCCATAGTACTTGCTGCATCATACTAGAATGTATCCAAAGAAGAAGGTTCCCACGCACAGAAGGAATGCAAGAAGGGTCACCCAGGCCCACCGACCACTCCAACCTTCTGATCCTGCCAAGCC